TGGAGGTTTTACGTTCCCGTGCACCAAACCTAAAAGTAACACGAATTATACACTGTTGTACAGGACGAAGCGGTAATAATTTTTTACTAGGTCAGCATCACAAACGAGCAAGTTCGTTCTAACGTTCGTAAAAAGATTCTTTACCTGATGTTCCGTCATAGAGCAAAAAGACGACCGTTAAACCGTATAAATAGAAACACGTGAAAAACAGCGAGTGTTTATAGTTACCGGTTAGAAGACGACTTTCGGAATGTTTCTCACTGCTTCGAACGTTACATCTCTAAATATCGGTATCGATTGCTTAGCGACATCTTTGTTCCCTAGTGGAACAATTTACCGACGACAATGGCAGGACCGCGAAATACCGATAAAGAAACGGGAGCACGTTGTCGTTTTGGTTATGTTTAAGGATACGTTATCCTTGATCGATTTTCCTGCAATTCCCCACAGTTAATTCGTAGAAAAGAGAACACGCGTGAAGAAAAATAACTTTAGAAATATTTCGTCCATTTGATCGATCACGCAAATGTCCGAGTTAAATTTTACCATCCTTTTACCATCGTGACGCATTCGACATTTATATGTTTACGATATTCGGATTTTATACGAGTACTTGACATTTCTGTCAAGTACAGGATGTTTAGATTCAAGCTTTAGATATCGATATCGAAAAGCCGATGAGATTAAACGAATTACGTTTGTCAATTAAATTCGTTATCATTCGAGATATTCGATTACTTTTTCGATCGATGCCATTCGTTCGGTAAAGTAAATATTTTTTATCTCGGTCGAGTAGAAGTAGATTGGAATCGAGGAGTACGTTCAAGTCGTAATAAGAAGCAGGATAACGTAAGGGAAGAAACGAGATTCGAGAGAACGATGTTCGATTTAAACATCGCGAAACCGAACTTACCAACGGTGCAAGTTCTAACCGAAATAACGTTTCGTTTACCCGATTCCCCTAGACAGAAATTCCCGTATCTCGATTGGGTATCGAAATTCTACCCACGGTTATCTGTCATCTCGAAGTCTATCGATGAGAAGAGTGTCAGGCGGGTAAGAGATTCAAGGACCGATCGGTCGATGGCGCTAATGGGATAATCGCGAAAACGTTTCGAGTGTCGATGCAATTTCTATCGCCGATTCCGCTAGTTCGCGGTCAAAGATACTTGGAAGGCAACATCGATAAGAAAGGGAAAGATCGTTACTTTTGTTTCCCCGATCGTATTTACCGTTCGTAAGTAACAAACAGGACAAGTCGAGACGGCTGTAACGAGAATATTCATAATTTAATAGGTCTGGTCAATTGCCCGTTACGACAACGATATTCGAACCAATTTCCATCGTATAGTTGGACGGTAAAGGGGAAGAGGTAGCGGAGAAAAGAAATAGATATACACATACATGTATGTATGCATATGTAGACACGTGTCCGTACACATGCTGGGTATTACAAATGGAAAGAACAAACCGTATTTGTCTTCTCTGAGAACGAAGTCGGATAGGGAAACGAGTGAGAAACGAAGGAGAAACGAAGGGGCTTTTAACGTCGGTTGACGGGAATGGTCAGGAGCGGAAGAACGACGCGTACAAATCGAACGATTATGCGGATACCGCGACACGTCGTTTATCGCGGTGCCCGAGGCCGTCGGAGAAGGCGATCGGATCGATTCCGGTGACGAATAGTCCTCTTGGACTCGAAATCCGTTGCTTTTCCGCGGAACCGTGTTACGCGAGTGACGCTTGGTCGAAAAGGCGGTGGAGGCGCAGCGAACCACGTAAATCGCGCGAACGCGGAAAAACGTAGCGGCGAGTGGCGTGGCGAGGAGAAGGCGGCGCGTACGCGTACACGCACGGTGCGTGCGTGGTAAGGAAAAAACTGGTGCTGCAGCAACCGCCTCTCGTTTACGCGGCACCGCGTGCACGGGGTAGGCGCGCGAGCTCGTTAAAAACGGCCTCGTTCGTCGCGTCCACGCGTCCTCGCAGCGACCGACCGGGCCGACGAGACGTGCACCATCGAACGAATCGCGAGTCGCGTGTGGGCTGCGACTACCAATTGAAACAACGAACGCGCATTACTCCATCAAGAAACGGAAGACGGATACGGAAGTTCGTTTGACGGGCCGCGTACACCCTTTGATCACTCCGAGGTCCACGTCGAACGAAACTCGAGCTTCGTTATCATCATCATCATCGTCGTCGTCGTCGTGGTCATCGTCGTCATCGTCGACATCGCTGACGTGCAAAGCGACGCCATTGAATCTCGATCTCGAATCGAACGTCGACCGAGTTTAACCCGTTCCCCGCGGGGGGATCCACGATCGTCGTCGATATTGTCGATATCGTGGATATCGTCGATACCGGGTGACAGTCGGTAGACGTTAATAGATGGTGACGCAATCGCGAGTCGAACGATATCGCGGTCCGCCCCTCTCCCCCTGATCTCGTAGAGCGCATCGAGACAACCTAACCCAAATCGCGTATCGTTCGGTTCTCGCGTTTCGCGACGAGAGGGCGACGCGTCCCGCGACAAACGATGGCGCTTCGTCGCATCGCGTTCGCGTGTTTTCCGAAACGAGTGCAAATTTTTCACCGATTCCGACGTTTTTCCGCGTTTCCCGACATCTGGATTGGCTCCAAAATTGCTCTGAACAACGAAACACGAGCACGGACCGCGCGATCAGCTTTCCCCCGCTTCTATCCGGTTCCCCTTTCGATCGGCCTTTTACGACGGATCGAGCGCGATTTCGTGGCGTGTTCGTTATTTTCCACCGTTTACCGTGCTCGCACGGCAGTCGTTGACGAGCGAAAAAAGACGCGAGATTTTTGAACGGGAGCCAAAAACCGCGACGGTGCCCGCACGGGGAAAAAAAGTCTCTCTCCCTGGCCGTTTGTTTCTGCTGCCAAGTTAGATTTATCGAAATTCTAAGCATCCGGCTGGTTCGTGGCTGTTCGCGCGCCACCACACCGTCGCCCGCGATCTCTCGGTTTTTGCTTCTCCGCCCTGTGCAGCGCGCCATCCTTGGCGTGATTTATCCCCGTTTTATGCGTTCGCCCGGAGTGTACCCGTGGCGCTGCGATCTCGTGCGTCAACCGACACCTAGCGATCCCGCGTTCGCGCGGTTTCTCGAAAAAAATTCGCCAATCCGGCTGCCGACGAAAGGAGCGCGAGGCATCGCAGGGGGAGGGGGGGGGGTTGGAGGTGGAGAAGGGTGAGCGTTGCACACGTAGCGAGCGAGCAGGCATACGAAGAGGAAGAGTGGCAGGCAGGCTAGCGAGTGGCGAGGCAGGCAGGCAGGCAGGCAGGCAGCAGAAGGAGAGGTTAAAGAAGAATCGAAACGAGTTGCGTTCCTCGAGCGAGGGCACTCGGGGTCGCGCTCGCAGACGGAGGCATCGCCGTCACGTCGGCCAGAAATCACTGCCGTGCGTCAGGGAAAATTCGCTCGGCGATTGTTTATATTGAAATACGAAAAAAACAGGAATGCTCGGAAATGGCCGCTGCGAGCTCGCGCCGTATAGGAATACGCGTCGCCCTCGGTCGAATTCGCATCGCGACGACGCTCCTGGCCCTTGCACTCGTCGCGTGGCTCTCCGTCCAGAGCTTTTCTCCAAACGCTGCACAAGCCAATCGTCCACTCTTTTTCTTCGTAGTCTTTGCCTTTTTATCGGATTGCTATATATATATATATATACGTATACTTTTTTAGCTTAGCTGGCTCTGTCTGTTGGTACTTACCTGGATCTGTCGGGGAAGTGACCGGTATTCTACGCGTTATTCGATTGAACGTGCAAAAGTCTGTAATTTTCACATATATATTTCTTTACATTCATACGTATATTCGTGTTTATATTCGCGCTTACGTTCGTATTTATAATCGTATTTATATTTGTATTTTATATATATATATGTATATATATTAATTATGTACACGTTTTATACAAAAATCTTCTCGCGCCTTTATACATAACGCTACACAGATGACAATTCGGTCTACGTACAATCGACCACAACGCGACTCGTGTTCGATATAATACAATTGTCGGAAAGTCGAGGGAAAAATCGCGATTCTGGAGCGGAAGGCGAATCTCCATGACGCGCGTCCACGTCCGCTCCGGTTCCATTCGATTCTCGCCTCGATCTCGTCTTTCCTCCTCCCCATCTCTCGCGTGTGTCTGTACGCGTCGCACATAAGAAACGATCGCTGCTTAAAAATATTAGAAATATCCCATATACCCCTAAATGGTTGTCTAAGTAACTAGCGTCGACACTGTCGCCGCACACGCGCGTCGCAGCGCCACGTTGGATCGTTTCTCCGCTTCCTTCCAGTCGCTCCCGGTTTCGCGCGTTCGCCAAAGCGTCCAGAGCCCGGCTATCCTACCGTATGTATAAAGTAAAAAAAGCACCGTGCGGAAAAATCCGATTTTTCGATCTCGGCCTACACGTATATCACATTGCGTTTCTTACAGTGTCCGTGGTCGCCGTCGCCGCCGCCGCTGCCGCCGCCATTTGCCTTCGCGGAGGCCGCGAGCGTTGGAGAAACGGAGAAGAGAGAGAAACAGGAAGAAACGACCCGCGACCAGCGACGAATCGAACATTCGCGGAAGAAAAATATAATCGTTCGGTTTCGGCCGGTCGCGTGTCCGTTTTCGAGCGCGTTCCTCCGACGCAAGCACGGTCGCCGATCTTCTCGAGAACGATCGGTCGAGGTAGACGTTCGCTCGGATATCTCTTCGCGGGCGAAAAGGAAAAGAGAGAAACTCGAGGAAAGAAGGATGATTCCGTGCACGCGAGGACTCTGTTTCGTTTCGCCGATCGTTCACGGGGCGGACCAGAGTGGGGCAAAATCGGAGTCCAACAACGACGTCTGGATCTCGTCGTTTCGCCGCAACGTCGACCAAGATTCCTCGCGTCTGAAAACGAAGAGCGACGAAGAAGGTGGTCGGATGAAAAAGAGGGGGGTTTGAGAAGGGTGTGAGAAATTGGGGGAGAAAAAGGGGGGGCGGTGGCGGAAGTAGAACGGCGAGAAGCGGGATCCGTGGTAGGAAGCTTCGAGTCGAAGTAGGAGGACGCGACGAGGGGTTGCGGAGAAGTGGCGCGAAATTCGAACGACGGAGGGAGGAAGAACGCAGACGGAAGAAGGGCACGAGCGAAGGAAGGCAAACGAACGCGGACAACGAAACGTCGAAACGAGTGACTAAGGGTTTCGGCATGACTCGACTAACGGCAATTACTCGACGCGAAGATCGACGCGAGATACCGGCCAGCGATGGATCTACCAGATCCCCCGCCGACGATTACAAATGCTAATTTATGATTTCTTCGCGCCTCGCTCCTCGTCCCCGCCTCACCCCGTCTCGCGTCCTCTTCCTCTCCCCGTCGTTCTCGCTTTTCCGGCACTTTTCTCGCGCTGGGAAAAAGCTCCAAACGCCACCACCGACGAGGTCTGCGCGTCCAGGTCGAAACGTCTTCATCTCCGCTCGTCTCCTCTTCTTCTTCTTCTTCTTCTTCTTCTTCTTCTTCTTGTTCCTCTCGTTCGTGGTCGCTCTGCCCTGTGGATATTCCTCGCGAAGAGGGATCGCGCTCGGTCGACGGATGGACGCAGAGACGAGGCGAGACGAGACTTTGGGAATCGAGGCGTGGGTATTACGTGGAAGCTAGCTGTCGCCAGACAGAATGTCACATCGTGGACATGTAGGGCCAGTTGAAGCTGCTACCGCTGAGAAGCATGTCCCTGATGAGCGTCTCGATCGGCGTTTTGCCGACGAGCCGCACGAAGAACAGCTGCTCGATCACCTGCGACGATACCGTCCTCAGGGAAGGCAATCGGAGCAGCAGCTTGCCGAATCTCGTCGGCTGATTCGGGTACTGGGTTCTGCAGTACTCCTCCAGCGCGCACTGCGACTTCTCCTGAAGGGACTCGATGTGCGCCACGTCCGACAATCCGCACGCATCTGAAACAGAAGGGTGGGAGAAGAGGTATTAGCACCGATTAAACTCTCTCTGTCTCTCTCTCTCCGCCGGTCCCTGGGAACCGACGCTGCGCGCCTTTGGTCCGCGCGAGCTCGCGTCGCGTGCCAAAACGCCCTAAACCTGGCCAAAGGTTAAAAATACCACGAGAACGGTGGAAGACCTTTCGACGAACGGTGTCGCGCGCGCCCGGCTTTTTTTATAGGTTAAACGAGCAAAACTCGATTAGTCGGCACATCCTATTAGCTCCTCCGTAGACGCGCATCCGCGTTTCCGAGACGAAATGGCGGAGCGCGCTGGCGATCGGAGTTGGCGAGAGACGGGAAAGGGAAGGAATTAAAGGGAAGGCGAAGGAAAGAAAGTGGAGCGCGCGTTAAACGCGTGGACGAGGTGGATGGAAGAGGAGATAGGGAAAAGAGAGAATGGGAGAACGTGGCTCGTGGTGGTTTGGCGTCGCCCGTTGACGCGGACGTCGTCGTCGGTCGGAGCGATTTAACGGGTGGACGAGTTCGCAGCGAGAGGCAGCCTCGGGCAAGCAGACACGCAGTCGAATGAGAGCCAGCCGGGGATTCGTTCCGTTGGAATGCGTGCCAACTAGAGAGACGTAGCCCGTGCGAACGTCGGACTAATCACGCGGCGACGGTGTCCCTTGATTCCACCCTTCCGCGCGAAACCAACCGCGCTTTACGCGCCACCATTGTTTCGTTTCCCTCGCTCGAAAATCCGGCCCGATGCGTCGCGCTGCGTTTATTCCGTCTTTCCGCCACCTCTCTGTCCCGATTTTTACGCCGCGTCACGCTAGTCCTCGACCACGATCACGACCACGACCACGACCACGAGCACGACCACGAGCACGACCACGAGCACGACCACGAGCACGACCACCCGAGCGACGAGCTCTCTTTGAGCATGCAAATCGCGTTATTTCCATACGTACGCGTAATGGGCTATTACGCGCACGTGGCGGCCGCGAAGGAATTCGACGAGAGGTTCCATCGCGTGGCAGCAGCCAAGCATGGCGGAGATCCGATACACGCGTTCGACCAGGCTCCAATTAAAGCGTACGTCGCAAGGAATCCGCCAACGCGCGGCCAATAAACAAACGGTCGGATTGGCGCTCCGATGTCGTCAGCGCCAATTCACCGCATCAATTCGAATAATACCGTTGAGTGGCGTCTCCGCGCCTGTCCGCTCCTCTCCTCTCCGCTCTCGATCACGATTTCTCTTACCCCGCGTGCTCTGCGCTCGCTCGCGTTAACCGGTTAAATGCCCTGGCGCCTCGTTGACCGGCCTCTCACCGTAAATTAACCGATTTTAAACTCCGACCAGTGCACCCTACCCTCTGTTCCTTCTCGCTCTTCTTCTTCGCCGTCTCGCCGCGTTTCTCTGCTCTCCCGGCAAGAATCCCGAGATACCTCGCAGCTCGCACGGGGTGGCGAGAGGCTAGGTCCGAGACGCGCGGTTCGGCAATGGACCGAAGAGAACCGGGAGAAGAGAATAGACCGGGTAGAAAGAAGAGGTGGTCAGTGCGATAGCGATAGCGAGCGCGATGACGAGAGAGAGAGAGAGTCGGAGATTCTTTCATGCCCTTCGGAAACGTCATATAGCTGTCGGGTGCCGCGGAGGCAATATTTCACGCCGGTAGGCCCGCCTGTCCTCCCGCTCTCTCCTTCGTTCCTACACTTTTGAAGGAGTTTTTACGGAGTCTCTCGATCTTTAATCACAGCTCGACCTTCCATTGTCAGTGACGTCACCTCCGACTCGGAAAGGGTGTTCGGGGGATGCTTTGTGTCGAGCTGCGCCGATCCCTCTCCGCGTCATTTGTCTCTCCGGCTGCCTTATTTGTACGCGCGCGCGAGCGTGCACACACATTCTCTCTCGTCGCTCCGCTCGCAACCCGCTCGTACCCGCCGCGCGATCGCCTAAGAAACGAACCTCGTCTCGAAGGTATTTAGAAGCGTTCGATCCAGACGTATCAGACGTCGCTCGACAGTCGCGTCGCTGATTCGCAAAAATCGTGGGATTATCGCGAGCAACGTAAGCCGAACGCAATATAGACCCGAGGAATACACCACCATCACCACCACCACCACCACCACCCCTATCGATCGTGTCTCGAAACGAACTTTTCCAAACGTATCGGCGACTCGTCGCCCGTTCCAGTCTAGCCAACGTAAGAAGCGTTCCAGTTTTGGACAGGGGCGCGAATGTCGCGTCCGAGTATACCGCGTATTTCGAACTTGGTCTACTCCGGCAATTACTAGTTTGATGGACGCGATGGCGCCTGCCACTTCCTCCCCGTGGACGACGTCGAAGATTACGACTCCGGACGATGGACTTCTCTGCTTGTGGAGTGCGGCGGTCAGTTCCCGTAACGCGATTTATTCGCCGTAGCGACGGGAAATTCGCGGTCGTTCGGACGTGGAATCGCGGAGAGAGGAGAGAAAAGGTGAGACGACGAGGGGAAGAAGGTATAACGGGTGCGAGGAACGGGGCTCCGTAGACGGAGCTGAACGGGGGCGCGAGCAACGATTATCATAACAAGGCTCGTATTTGGAGACAAGATGCCTCGCGACCCTATCGGCCTTACGCATCGGGCCGACGCGACACGCATTTAATCGTCGTACGTGCTTCCTAGCCGCTACTTACAGCGGTACCACCTATAAGCGCACACCGTTTAGGATCTATATTGTCATGTTAACGACTCCGATGCGCCGATCCCATTAGGGCGCCGTTCTCCTTCGAGTAACTCGAAGACCGGGGACACACACGGGGACCCACCGGGCCCCCCAGTGCTCTCCTTCTCGTTTTCGTTCCCTTCCAGTTTCCAGACCTTTGTCTTTCTTCGCGCGTCGCGCGTCACCGGAAGATCGCGAGCACGTGGATCGACGCGCGGCGCAGCGACCGTAGGAAGAGAAGCCGCGAACCCTCTCAGACGGATTATAACACGCGGAAAGTTCGCGACCTTTTGTCTGCCGTTACCCTCTGGCGATGGGCGAACACCGGGGGTAATCCTCTAACCGGGCCGTTATGCCGTTGTTGACATTTAGCCCCCGCGGCCGCTCTCCAAACCGGTCCATGGTGTTACGTGCGCGCCGCGCCGACAGACCGAGAAACCCACGGATCCAGAGAAAGACCGCCACCGGCTGCATCTCGGGAAGAACAGAGACGCTCCGAAACGGGTCCACTCTCGTCCTTCTATTCTTTCGCTTCTCGGGAACGCGCTCGGACAGCGCGCCAACCCTGTCCGACGGAAAAAACGCCGACCCGACCGGGCAGGGGAACCGGCAACGGCAACAGGAGCAGCAAGAGGAACAGGACGAGGAACAGGAAGAGGAACAGGAAGAGGAGGTGCGTTCGAGGAGGGGAAAAAAACTTGACCTTCGTCGTGTACCTGCCTACGAAGCGAGTAGCGGAACGGGGCGATAGGATAGGTAGCCAAAGCCAGGGGGGTTGTTCGTTGACCTTTTCTCGCGGCCTACCCCCTTCTTCGCGAGCACTCTGCGTCGCGACGACCTTTGCCGAGGTTTCGAGCATCGAGCGGAAAATGGTAAGAAATAGACGCGACTGGACGGGGATTGCGCGAGGGGCGGAGGAGGGGCGGCGGGGCAAAAACGCGGTGCCATTTGAGGTAACCGTCGAAACGGCCGACTATTCGGGAAAGCAATGCCGCGCGCGGCGCCTCCTTCCACCGGCATCCTATCGATAAATTCACTGGCTACTGTAAACAATGCGGCAACAATGTCAATTATGCGGACGCCGATCGCGCGGCACCCGCGGTAATTAATCGAATACGAACAGCCGCGACTTTGCGCCGTAATTAATTGCCGCGTTGGCTGCTGGTCCGCTCGTACGCCTCGCCGCGCCATGCCACGCCACTGTACGCGCCGCTGTACGCGCCGCGTCGACAACCACGCGCCGTGTTACTCCCTTTCCACGTAGCTAGCCACCCTTCCGATCCCGACCGACGGATTCGTTCCTTTCGTCGTGGAAATCGACACGCCGAAGCGAGATACTCTGGCTGGAGGAGAGAGAGAGAGAGAGAGAGAGAGAGAGAGAGAGAGACGGAGGGAATTCCCCGCATTCCCGGTGAATTCTTCGCGGCAGAGTTTGGAGAGCAGAGGTTCGAGGCGGAGAAGAGTAGACGTCGCGGTAGACGTCGCCGGAACACACGGCTCACGGCGGCGTGTACGGTGCGAGGCGGTAGGCTCGCGATCGCGTGGGCGCGTAATATATTCTTGGGATAGACAATGTGCCGAGCACGTGGGCTATAGAAGCCAAGTCGACCGGACCCGGGGCCCCATAATGAAGCGTTGACGCGAGCATAAAACGAGCGCCGCTCGAGACAATGGAGTGATTGAGCGCGGGTAACGCCAAAGGGTTGCCCGCCGTCAACCCCGGGGTGAAAATGTCAGTAACCAAATGTCAGGCCTCGCCTCCAGCGCGCTCTACGACCATTCTCGTTCCCGCGCGACCTCTTCCTCGCCCTCCACCCCCTCTTTCTCGCCTTTTTCTCCCGGCTTTTTACGCTCTTCTCTCCCGTTTCTTCTCTTCCGCCCCTCTCTGCCGCTCGTCTCGCGAAAATTCCACCGCCGCGAGACAGCTCGCGTCGCTCGATCGCGCTTCCGATCGAGAAATAGCCCCGACCGGAACTCGTCCGCTCGAGATCCAGTTTATCGCCTCGCGGCGTACACGGCCACTTTATAGCCTATCTCTCTCTCTCCCTCTCCCTCCCTCCCTCCCTCCCAACCTTCCTCTCTTCCGGTCGTTGTCAAAGCGGATAGCGGCGAGAGCGTAATCGTCGCGAAGATACTTTGCAGCCGTCGCCACCGCCGCGACAAAGGGTTGGTCACCCTCACCCTCGGCCTGGCAGGCGCAGACGACTCGCGAGAAAATAACGCGGCTCCTGCCGGAATATTTTACAGCCAGGAAGCGTGTTTTTCTCGCCGCGCGCTTCCGAGATTGCTTTCTCTCCGCGGAGAGT